CCTCGGTCCCACCCGGTCAACACAGCCTCCCCTTGGCTGCTCCAGAGCAAAGCCAGGGTCCAAGGGCGGCCCTCAAGGACAGCGGCAGAACCGTCTCACCTTGGAGGAGGTCCACGAGGTGGGGGCCGCAGGTGGGCACTGGCCCGGGCTTGCCGCCTTCTGGTCTCTCTCCGGAAGGCGCAGCCAGCCAGGCCCCACCCCGCATGAAGCGGTGGCCTCAGCAAGTAACCAGGACAGAGGCCTGGAGGACGCCAGCGTCCTGGGGCGGAAGCAGCAGCATGCGTTTGTGCGAGGCGGGAGCATGGGGGTGCGGCGGGGGCCTGGCCCACCGCGGGGCCCAGGCAGAGGGGTCTGCTGCCCCCCGGGCTCCCCCCAAGTTTCCGTTTCCTGGCCTGCCTCAGCTCTCCGGCCCCCTCCCACGTGCAGGCTGAGCTCAGGTCTCGGGGCTGCCGCGGCCCTGGCGGTGGCAGAGCCTTTGCTCGTGCATAGCAGCCGCGGGGCGGGACGGGATGCCAGCCCGAGGCCCAGCCCACTCCTTGGAACGGACTCTGGCACGGCACTGCCCGCGAGAAAGGCGGCCCCAGGCTGTGACCGCTGCTCGCGTCCTGGAGACACAGGCTGTCGGGGTGCCTTGGCCAAAGGCATCTGAGGTCAAGAGCAGAACACTCCACCCCCGGGGCAGGCGCCAGGGGTCCCCCACAGGGCCTGAGCTGGACTGCACCCAGGTCACCTCGGGCCCGGCGGGGACAAGAAGGCCCTCTGGGAAACCCCACTCCCTGCCGGGCAGCGTCTGCGAATCCTACACGGAGGCTGGAAGGCGGAGGCAGAGACGGTTGTGTGCCCCCAGGTCCCGCGGACATCCGCCTCATCTGGGAGAAGGACGGGCGCGCCCTGGAGACCTGCGTCCCCGTGCAGACCCACATGCTGCCGGACGGGAGGGCCCACGCGCTCAGCTGGCTGCGGGACGCCATCCCGGAGGGCGCCGAGTACCGCTGCTCCGTCCTGTCCTCAGCAGGGAACGTGACCTCAAAGGTGCGGGTGGCTGTGGCGAGAGCTGGTAAGCGACTCGTGCGCCCGCATGCCCCTCCAGAAGGTGATGTCTCGCAGTCTGCAACAGGGGTGGCAAACACACCCTGCACGCACATGTGCACGGGGGCATCTGGTCTGGGGACGACCTGTTGGCTTTCCCCTAAGGTGAGGCCTTGCTTGCCACGGCCCGCCCCTGGGCCCACACACACGCTCTGTGGGCCTCTCCCCCCAGCACGGGGAGCTGCGTGTGTGCCACCAGGGCGGGCCAGGCCGCCCCTCGGCACCGCCTCTACCCACAGTTCCCCGGGCTGACGTCCGCCTGCGGGTGCTCGGCACCGATCAGCACCAAGCCCCGCGGTTGTTCGAATCAGTCAACAGACTGTGGCCTGGGTTGGCCTCCCTTGAACTTTCTGGCCTGTTCCAGAAGCCACCGGGCCACTGTGGCCCCTGCCCCTGAGGCTGGAGATGGGTTTGTGTTGGGTCGAGGGTTTCCTGGGTGTTCCTTGACTTCCTCCTCCAGGCTTGGAAAAGAGTGTTCGGGCACAGGTCAGAGGGCCACGTGGGAGCTGCCTGCGTCCCGCGTTCCCCATGGCTTTACCCGTGGGTGACAGTTGGGCTGGGCATGCAGTTCCGGCCTGAGAATCACGCCTGGCGGAGCGAGGGCGTGGGTCCCGTCTGTGACCGGCCCTTCTGAGAGCCTGTGTGAGCTGCTCTTCAAGCACCGTGGAACGTCTAGCTTGGTCTAGTGCCTTGGCGGGGCCTCGAACCCGCGGAGACGCCCACCCTTCCTTCCGAGGCGTTTTTCCAACATTCAGATTCCGCCCTTCAGTTCTCATTCTTTCCGGAACGGCTTTCCATGCGGTTGGGCTCCTGGGCCGCCCCTCTCCGCCCCATCGTTTCTTTCACAGCAGTCGTCTCTCACCTTTGTCCTCTTCCTCCCGCGTTCTCCTCATCGGCATCTTCCAAACCTGGAAACTGAGCTCCTTCCCGCCCTCGCTTTCCTCCTCTGCCCGTTCAGCTGTTGCCTCGGGCCTGTGGGTCCCAGACTGGCTGAAGGGCCGGAGAGGGCCGCGTCTGCAGACGTGCGTGCCTCGACCCCGGGCTCTCCCACCGCAGAGGTGCAGCCGTGCTCCGGTCCAGGTGGGCAGGGCGAGGCGCATCCTGCAGTGTGCCCAGCACGCTGTGTCGTCCGACCGGGCAGGTGCTGTCCTCCCCACTCGGGGTGGACGGAGGCCCAGGAAGGTGGAGGAGCTTGCCCGAGGCCACATGGCTCGGCAGCTGGCACGGAGCAGGACGTGGCTGAGTGGGGCAGCGTTCACCGAGTCCCCCAGACCCCGGACCGAGAGGCGGGGCGCCGTGGCTCAGCTGCCCAGTGTCTCCCTGCCCCTCCTGCAGGCACCATGGCTGGGAGGCACAGCAGTGTTGGGTCGGACACATCCAGAAGTGGCTGCTGAGCTGGGGCCCCCACCCCACTCGCCCTGGTGTGTCGTGGGTCAGAGGTGCCCCCTCCTCCTCCTGGCGATCAGAGGCGAACCCCCACGCTGTCCACCAGAGCTGCCCCTCTCCCAGTGTGCTGTGGATCAGAGGCGCCCCGTCCCTCATGGCTTCGGCCCCGAGGTCTGCAGGAGCACGTTTCCCTGGCTGCTGGCTTGCGGGAAGGTGGGGGCCGCAGGCTGGGAACCCCACTCAGGCTGACCACTGGGCCCCTGCTGGGTTCTGTGCGTGTCTGAAGGGCCCATGTTCTTGGAACCTATTTCTGAAACCAGCGACCAGACCCTGCAGCCCTAAGAAGCGGTGCCTTCACTCTCGTGTTTATAAGAAACGCGTGTCGGGCCGGGTGGCATCAGGAAAGCCCACAAGCATCAGGTCTGGTCCAGGGCACGTGGGGAGGCGATGCAGGGCAGGGCTCATGCTGCCGTGTCTCAGAACAGCGAGCCGTGCTGGCTCCTGCGGTGCCCCCAGCCCCATGAGGGCCAAACCGAGTGCTGGGAAGAGAAGGAAGCAGCCTCCCTGCCCCCTCCAGGGCCAGGATGGTCTCGCAGAGCAGCTGCCCCTGGGCCGGTGGCCTGGAGAAGGGGTGGGCAGGCTCCCGCCGTCTCGATGCCTTGGCCGTGCTGCGACCCGGCACGGGGACCTCCCAGAGGACGGCTCCTGGGGCTGGTCCCTAGGCGCGAGGCAGGCCAAGCGGGGGGTTCTGCACCGGCCCGAGGCCTTGGCAGGCGGGGCATCCAGGGGCTGCAGAGGCCGGCAGGGCTGTGACGGCCTGCCTGGTCTTCCAGAAGCGACGCACCAGGAGCACTGGAGCAGGGAGCTGTCTGCCTGGAGGGCCGTGGTCGGGGAGCACAGCCGGATGATGCAGAGCTGGAGGCAGGCCTGGGTAGGCGTGGCCAGGCCCCCTGGGGCGGGGGGGGGGGGGGCGCTAGCTCCAAGGACCCCACCCTGCACAGGCCCCACTGCCTCCTCTCAGCCGCAGAGCAGTCCTGAGACAGGAAACCTGCAGCCGTGGGGCCCTCCTGTCTCGTCCGAGCTGGGAGGGGAGCCAGGGGCGGCCCCAGCCCTTAAAGCCACGGGCGTCAGGCGGTCGGAGGGGCTGTCTGCTGGGCGGGATCCCACAGCCACCCACCCTGGACAGAGCCAGGTGCCTGCTGGAGGGCGGGAGACGGTCTCCTGAGCCAAGCCAAGCCATGGCGGGGCAGGCCCAGCACCCGGGCTGCAGCGGGGACAGTGCAGAGGCTCGCGGGCAGGGTCCCTCCCAGAAGCTGTGGCCGTCCAGCCCAGCTGCCACGTCCCGACGCAGAAGGCAGAGCCAGGGACTCACTGCTGGCCGTGTGCAGAGTGGGGTCCAGAGGCCCACAGGGGCCTGATGCGTGGGCCCTGGCTGCCCACACCCCAGATGTCACCCAAGGGCTGCGTATGTACAAGGGGCCTGCTCGCAGTCTGCTGTCCCTCCCCCCACCTCCTGGGGCCACCTGGTGTGGGCCCTCTGGCTGCCCTGAGCAGGACCTGGGGGCTGGGGTGACAGCTGCTACCTGCCACGCGTGGGAAGCCACTCCCGGTGCATGCCGCTCTGCCCAGGGTCTGCTCCGGGCGGGCGGGATGGGGCTCAGGTGAGCTGTTCTTTCAGGAGAGCTGCAGCCAGGATGCCCCGTAGCCTAGGATGGGCCTTGCACCCAGAGCGACCAGCTCCTCACGGCCACCCCGGGGACGGCATCCTGCCCAGCCTGCACAGGACATGGCCACCCGCCTGCCCCTTGCAGGGGCTGGCCTGCGGTCTGCCAGCAGAGGCAGTCACCCGGATGACCACAAGCCACTGCGGTGCCCGGGACACTCCTATGGCCACACGTGCAGGCTCCCCACTCAGGACCGTTCTGGCTCAACCCCAAGCCACCCACAGTGCCCACTCCCACCACCTTGGTGACAGCCCTTGCCCCACGCTGTGGCCAGTGGCGCCTGCATGCCCAGTGCCTTCAGCTCAGCCCCGGGCCACCGAGGTGCAGACCGACAGGCAGAGGAGGCTCGTGGCCGGCCTGCCTTGACCCGCGGACCCAGAGGCCATGCCCGGGTGCCCGTCAAGGCTGTGTTGTCCTCTGCTCCCCTAAGACTCATGCTCCCCCTGCTGTCCCAAGCACTGCAGTGACCTATGCCCCTTGGCCTGTGCCGTCAACATTCAGCTGTGCCAACAGGGCGCCTGGCGTGGGTGAGGCAGAAGGTGAGCTGGCAAGTTTCCTGTTACTGGCATTAAATTCCTTGACAGTGGAGTCTCCTGAGTGTCTGTACCTGCTTTCAAGTCCCTGTTCCTGTGTGTTCACGTCTATCACAGCCAAAACCTTTGAGAAAAAGGGCGCTTCTGAGAGCCCAGCAAACATGGGGCGCCCCCCACGGCACCACAGCCTGTCCGTGACCCCCCCATGTGGGCGAGCTCCGTGTCAGTCTCTGTGTGCGGCCTGCATACACCCCACCACTCAAGATCTGTCACAGCCAAGGCACCCTGGACACGGCCGGCCCTGGGTGGAGACGCTCGCTCCCCTCCTCCGCCGTGCCAGGGGTGCCCCTACCAGCTGGGGGCGCCACTCTTCTCTCTGCACGATCCCTAACCTCCCCGGGGTTCTGCTTGGGGCGTGGCTGCAGTCTCCCCCAGCACCAAGGGGACACTGGAGGTGGGGTGCGGCTCGGCCCCCCACACCGCCAAGGGAACGCGAGCAGGGGTGTGGCTCACCCCGCAAACCATGGGATGTGTGGGTAGGGTGCGGCTCGGCCCTCCACACCGAGGGGTGCATGGGTTGGGGTGCGGCTGCAGCCCCCAGGGCCAAGGGAAGCGTGAGCCTGGGTTCTTCCGGGGCTGTCCCGCATCTTCCCCAAGCCTGGCTGGAGTCCACACATCACACTTCGCCAAAATGTCACACGCTGGCAGCCTCCGTGACATGGGCCTTCTGTTGGGAATGTCACTGCAAGGGTGGACTCCTGAGTCCTCGCACCGTTGAAACAGTGAAAACAAGAGTTGTCGTCTGCTCGGTTAACTGCATCTGGCACCCGGCCCAGGGCAGCATGCCTCGAGTGGAACCACTGGCAGGTGGGGCTGGAGTCAGGCCGCAGCGGCTCAGCCAGAGGCCCCGCTGCCAGGAAGGTGACAGTGGGGTTCAGTCCAGAAGGAAACCTTTCGGCAGCTGAGTAAAATGTCAAAACGCCTCTCCTCCACATAAGCTGCTTTTATCCCTGGGTTAGCGAACAGATGCCACCAACCCAGGGACTGCTAAGCAGGGCTCTGAGCAGAGGACCCTCTCGAGCAGAGGTTTTTAGGTCATTTGTTGATCAATCAAGCGTTTTGGGGTGGGGAAAAAATTCTAGCTGTCGAGTGTAGCTGCTGACAGGCTATTTAATTTTTTTCCCTACAAGTTAATTTTGCTGTTTTCCAACTTCCTATGAGCAAATTTACCACTTATAAGAGAGTGGGGGACAGGAGAGGTCCCTGGCCCCCCGGTGATCTGGCTGACTGTCCCAGGAAACCGTGTAGGGATGGCCAGGCCTGGGTGACCACACCTCTTCCCTCACTTAAACGGCTCAGCACAGCAGGGCCCAGGGCAGCTGCTGGAGCTCCCCAGATCCTGGGCAGACGGTGGCCCTGCACCAGCCTCTGGGCATGGGTTTCCAGCCCTGCCCAGTGTGCCACCCTCACTCACCACTCTGGGCCACTGACTCCTCGGTGGCACCATGCATGGCATGCCTGAGCTCAGACAGCATCCTCAAACCACCAACAACCCCAACAAGCACCAAGCAGCGCAAACCCTTCCCGCCACTGGCGTAGTGAGAAGCACCAAGTGCGGGCCAGCACTGAGCTGGGGCCAGGGACGGCACCAGGTCTGTGTGGCGGCCCCTTCACCTCGGGGCCAGGTGGCCAGGAGGGATAAATGACGCAACAACCGGGACAGAGACCACTTACAGGTACCTACACCTAGATCACCAGAATCCGAAGCAAAATTAAATAATTATTCTTTATTTAAAATAAATAGCCCTCTTACTCACAGGGAAAATTTGAAAGTAAACTCTGTCTTCCTGGCCTCTAAGACAGAAACCACGCTCAGAATAAGTTCATTTAAAAGAGAAAAGATCTGTAGATTATCAAACAAATCTAGGAGCTTCGATACACATTGTTTCTTTGAAAAGCAAAGACTGGAAGGAACAGTTCATGTCAGAAAGTCACAGGTTAGAAAACCAATTTTCCTTCTGAGGCTCATTTCAGCAAATCGTCCACGTGTGCCCAAATCTTTTGGCAGAAAAGCCGCATCCCCTGAGAAAGGGCCCTCCCCACAGCCCTCTTTCTTTGCCCAGCTGCCGGCATCCCGGGGCTGCGTGCCATCCCCGAGGTGCCCCAGGCCCTGGGCTGGCAGGAGCACAGCACCCACTTTCCTGCAGACTCACTCACTCAGCTGCTCTGTAATGGAGAGGGAGTTTCCTTGGCAGCCCAGGACCCCAGGTGCCACGCTTTCCAGTACGTTCCAGACCCACAGTGTGCTCAGGAAGCCCGAGCAGAGACAGGAGGCCTTCAGAGACTTCTGCCAGCGTATCTGAGTGACCCTCAATGGCTCCGTGCTGACAGCCTGCCAACACGGGCAGCTTCCCAGCCCTCTGATTCTGGGTCATCTCCAGGGTCAAAGTCACACAAAACATGTCAGGCGGGTGAAGAGCTGAGAGGAAGAAAAAGCCCCAGAGTCTTTCTCCATCTCCCCTTCTTACCCAAAGGACAGACACACAGGACAGAACTCTTATAAATTCAAGTTCATCATCTGAGTGGTCGAAACCTCGAGGGACTCCTCCAGATCCGGGGCACACTGGCTGTATGCTTGCAGATGCTTTCTCCAGATTTCAACTAAAATGAGAAAACAGCACCCGTGAGAGCCGGCACCAGCAAGTCGGAAAAGGCCTGTCTGAAAACCCACGGCGTGGGCAAGCGGGGTATGGCACATGGGCAGGTGGCACATGTCGATGCCCAGCAGACACAGAGCTCAGAGGAGCCCAGGTCAGCTCCACCCCCTTTCCCAGCCTACGGGCCAGGTGCCCTCACTGGACCGCAGGAATTACACCTCCCAGAGAGCACCCCTTGGAGGACAATGACCTTGAGGAACTCTCGGCCTTCCAGGCCTATCTGGGTATGGCTACCCTTACGGCCACCCTCTCTTGGGGTGCCAGCAGACTTGGAGACAGTCACTCACAGTCCCTCACATCTTCCAAAGTCTGGTAACACCTCCGAGGCAAAGGCCTGGACTCACGGGCCCTGTCACAGCCAGCCCTGCAGCACTGTGGCCCAGCTGCTCCCGGGGTTGCTAATGAAGTCACTGGAGCACTCGGAAGACATGCAAGCCGGCGCTGAGCCTCCCCTGCTCACTCACTATAGTGCGGCTCCTCTGGTCCTGTGGGGGCTGCGGGGCCATCTTCTGCGGGGCTGGGTGGGGCGCCGGGCCCGGGCTCCCCGGCCAGACCCTGCTGTGCGCTCTCCAGCATGGCCGTGTATGCCTGCCGGGCTGCCGTCGTCAGTTCCACCATCCTGTGGAACTGGTCCTGCGGCACAAGCGAGAGCGCCCGGGTGACCGCCGAGAGGACCGGCTCAGCTGTCCGCAGCCAGCCCGGAGCCAGCCTCGGGAGCGGACACTGCGCGCCGAGCAGAGGCCCCGCCCCACAGACACGGCGGCTCCTCTCCACGCGAGCCCACACAGACTGCGGCCACCCGCTGCAGGGCGGAGGCCGAGCCCACCTCACCTGGGCCCCGTCGTAGCTGAAGATGCCCACCACGCTGACAGGGACGGCCTTGTTCAAGCTGCGCCCCAGAGCCTTGCGGTTGAGGGCGAACACGAAGGGAATGTTCTGCTCGCAGGCGCAGTCGATGATGGTGTGCAAAGTGTCGTCCAGCCCGCCTGGTCAGAGGATGAGGAATGGCGGGGAGACATCACAGGGAGTGAGTGCAGGGCACCTTCTAGGCAGCAGCATGCCTGCCTACCATTTTACACTCAAGTCAGCGGCCCCTGCCAACCTCTCCAGGGGACAGCAAGTCCCAGCCACAGAGAAAGGGCTAACGCTCCAACACTTCCTCAACACGATGTGACACACAGCGAGTGTGATGCTCGCAGGCAGGTGCAGCACCAGCTGATGGAACAGCTTCCCACACACCAGGCCCCAACCAGCTGCTTCACACCTGTCAGCTCCTGGATCCTCCCAGATCCCAAGAGGCAAGCAGGTGCATGTCCCCTGGACAGATGGAAAACCGGCGACACGGAGGCTGGCTCCTGGGGCGCCACCCTCCACCACCCACCTGAGTCTGCAAGGACCAACCAAGGCTGGTGCCAGCGAGGGGGAAGCTGGAAGGAACGGGGAAGTGCAGGGGAAGTGCCAGGCACCTGGAAACCCTGCAGCACAAGACAGACGGGCTGGGCCCTCGGTGTCAGCACATGGCAGCCAGCGGTGCAGACACCACTGCTCACAACTGCAACACGGCACAGCGGGCAGAACACATTCACCATGAACGGTCACAGACGGCAGCTACGTGCTGCTGCAGAGCACGACAGAAATGTGGGCAGATGGGCAGCCGTGCTCCCGAACGGAGTGATCCGAGTGACCCGGTGTCAATTCTGCACTCACCCAGACCTCAAACACCGCAACTCACTTTGAGAAATAAGCACGATGGGAAAACGTCAGACCAGCACCACCAGGCACGGGGCTGGCTGAAAAGTTGCCAGCATGTCAGCCAGTGGCAAGGATCCGCGGAGTGGTGGCCAGACAACCCACGTCCCGTGGAAGCAGAGCTGGCGAGGAGCACTTCGGATCAGCCGTGGAGGCACAGGGGGCTGGGGGGCTCCCAGCGAGGGGGACAAGACCCTCACTGAGGGAACATCAAGGCTCCGAGGCTGGTTTCAAACGGGAGCTCCACAAGGAGCCTCCGTGCACTTGTTGTCAGAGGCCACCAAGGCCACACTCCAGCGACGCGGGGTACACCCAAGCAGTCCAAACAGCCCCAGGGGCAGGTCGGAGCCCGCGCATTGGGGGCGACAGCTGCAGGTGGCGCAGGCACGGCATGCTCGACATCAGGTGGCGAGGAAGCCAGACACGCCACAGACAGGGGCAAGCCGGTCGTGGACGAGGAGGAACGGCAGCCGTGCCTCTCCGCTGGGACTAACCCTAACTTCAAGTGGGAAATGCGGAGCAGCCCTCGACGCCTGCTGGAGACGGGAGGGGACATGCCCACACGCGCCGAGACCCCACACGGGGCGCCTCAGAAGGCAGCGAGCGAGGCCTGTGGTCTCCTGCACAAACCCACAGCCCTCTGGGTCCCTCAGCAGGCCCGGCACAACACGGGCCAAACAGCCAGAAGGACGTGGCCTGTTCTCCCCAGTGACCGCGCAGACGCCCAGCGGGTGGCAGAGCGCTGAGACCCCGCTGTCATGATCTGGCTGTGGAAATGCTGCACTGCACGGCTGCGGACAGGGACAGCCGCAGGGCAGGGCACACGGAGGCCCCAGGTGGCAGGAGCCTCAGACACGCGGGAACCTCAGGTTTCAGGCGTAAAACGCGGCTGGAGAGATCACATCTCAGGGCTCAGCTCAGATCGGGACTCATCTCAGAGTGCAACCCTGGCCAGGTGAGTTCATGCCACAGGGAAGGGGGCAGGGCCAGGAAAGAGCCCGTGACTGCTCCAAGCCCCGAGTACTCACCTCGTCTGGGGTGTCTCCTGCCTGTCCTTGCACCGTTCGACCCAGGGCCATGACAGGTTCCCCAGGAGCATGGGACAGGCACCCAGGACACACCCCAGGCGAGGGCTCCCTATCCCTCAGGCAGCACATCACATGTGACACAACACACTCCCCCTTGAGTCACATGGCAAACATTCAAAACCCATGTCTGTCACAAGAAGGCACAATTTGGTGTCAGGCAGACAAGTGTCCATGGGGTCCTGCATGGCTGCAGACACAGCAGCTCCATGGGCCACCCTGCTCCGAGCAGCAGCCTACAGGTCAGGGCACGCCCTTCCCTGTTGCAGAGGGGGCCGGCCGGAGGCCTCTCCCGCAGAACCAGGATCACCTCCCTGCAGAGGGGGAGGCACTCTGCAGTCATCGCACTTGGAAGAAAATTGCTCAGAAACAAAAAAGAAAAAGAGCTGCCAAGGCCTGTGGCACAGCCAGCCCGGGCGTGTGGCCTGGCCTGCAGACCAGGCGTGCCCCACCCCACACACAAGGACCCAAAGCCCAAATGCAAGGGCAGGGCGCTGGGCGCAGGGGCCGGCACCACAGGACAATGCAGCACCCTTACCTTTCGACTGGATCTTTTCACAGTTGGGAGAAATGATGACACACTTCAACTTCTTAAGCTTCAGGTGTTTGAGAACCTCCCGCAGCCCCAGGACGAGCCGGCGCTTGGTCTTGGCCTTGACGGGATCTTTCTGGTACATCCGGTCTTGGAAACGAACCAGTTCTCTGAGGAGGTCCGCAACACAGGCATCCACCTCTTTACTGAGCATCTGGCTGCAGTAACTGAAAGAAACGCCAGACACCGCGAACTGTGGCGCCGGTGCTGCTCACATCCGCTCTGAGACAGATGCAGGCAGGGTCACCCCAACTGGGAGCCCCCACCTGACACATTACGGGAGGTAAATACTGGGGTACCTTGCCCCACTCCCAAACACAAGGAACTAAAACCTCTGGGCCCACCCTCCATGGTCGGCCACAGGCCCCGCCTCCTCCTCACAGACACCAGGAGGGACGCCCGGATGGGAAGTGGGAGAGGGAGATGGCCGAGGGAGGGAGCGAGCTTACAAGAGTTCCTCCCCTGGGAAACCACAGAAAGAGGAAACCACAAAAGGAGCCCAAGGTCGCGCACTGTCACCCGCCCCCACTCCCCAACCTCGAGCTTGGATGGAGGGGATCTCTTCCCTTTGGGATCGGGAGGACAGAAGCCTGGGCAGACAGTGGACTGGACTCTCCCTGAACACATATGCAGCCGGGTGCCCGGCTGCCTCCCACCACGAGGGCTGAGCACAGCATAGCCCAACACACGGACTCGTGAGGCTCAGCACCACGAGGCGGCGAGAAATCCAGTCAGGTCCACCTGACTGAGCACTCCCCGTCCCCAGGGGCTGAGGGTCACACACTCTCGGAATCTGCGGCTGTGGATCTTGGGGAAGGTGGTATGGCTGGGCGCCAGGGGCCAGGACTCCACGCCCCTCTGCAGCTCTGCGCCCGGCGGCTCTTCGGACTCGCCCGCGACCACAGGCGGGGACGGGAGCGATTCATCTGTCTCCTCTGGACCTTCACACAGAGGAAAAAGACATTGTATTATAGCCACCGGGCCCACGCACACACGGAGGGGCCAGCTGGTGCACCGGACCCCCCCAGGCACGCCACAGTGTCAAGTGCCGTGAACAGCCAGGCCCACCAGGAGGCAGGCGCCAGAAGGGGCAGCAGCTTGGAGGCGCCTTCCCACTGCGCCACCTATCCATTTCGAGCTTGGTGAAATGTCAAGAACATGTGCCACTTTAACCATTTTAAAGTGTGCCGTTCAGTGACCAAATTTATCTTTTAATTTTCAAGTTTAGCCTGAGGAATCTCATACCAGGGAGTTTAAAAACCAGGCTTTTAGTTTTGATTTTTTCTTTAAATGCTTGAGACCTTTCTCTGATAACCCTTTAAACAGCACTGAACTCTACCATCCAAACTCAAGAGGCGTGTGCTTCAACACCCCAGGTCTGATCCAGCAACAGTGTGACTTGCACCAGCATGCAGGAGAAGTGACAGGTCCCAGGGGAAGGGATTCCACACACGCAGCACACCCTCCAGGACACAAGCACGGAGAGAACAGTGCCGTGGACAGGTGGGGCAGGGGCACCAACTCCGCCAGCCAGTACATCGCCGCCAGGACCCTTGGAGACCCCTCAGGCAGGAAGGCCCACAGAAGCGAGTGCCTCTGTGTTCAACACACACACCACTGCCCCACAGCCACTGCCAACGGCCCCCCGGACCGCCATCTGCAAGCCGCACGGCCGAGCCCATGCCCACGTGGCAACAGAGTCGAGGAACTGCACTTGCGCGCCGCTGAGGCTGGCGGGGGGCGGGGGCAGCATGTGGAACAGCCCCGCAGCCGGAGGCGGGTGCCATCAGGGCAGGGTCTCCCGGGGGAGGTCCACCGGGGTGCCGTGGACGTCCTCAAGCTGCACGCTCAGGACTGTGCGCCTCTCTGATGTGTAACCGAGTGAGGAGTTTGCTTCAAAACCATACACATGCCCATGGCCCTGTGTCTCATACACTCACCAGCGGGCAGCTCTGCACTTAGTGACAGGAACCTCACAGCCGCTTCAGCCAGAGGACTGCAGGGCCACAACTGCATCCTCACAGGGCCCGGAGCAAGGCACCAGCGGCACCCCCATGGCGAAGCCAGGACTCAGCGCCGGCCAATCCTCGCCAGAGGCGCCAGGCAGCGTCCGCAGAGCCCCAGCCCGCCCAGTCCGCCTGCTCCTGCTGCTGTTTCCAGGTGCAACCACAAAAGCCATACCTGCGAGGGCTGCCTGCAGCGGGGCCTGGTCGCCACCTCCACTCTCTCCCTCCTGGACATCAGCACTGTCAAAGGCTGGGCTCGCAGCACTTTCGTGGAGACGCTGCTGCTTTCTCTCTTGCCGCTCTTTCAAAATAATCTTAAACATTAAATCGGTGATTCGAACACAGCTTGCTCATGCCTGGAGAGCAGCCACGTGCCCTGGCCTCCCAGGGAGCTGGCTTGACCCTCCCCACAGAGGGGTAGCACATTTCTGCCCAGGTGGCAGGGGGCAGGGATGCACACAGAGCCGCCTGGGCTCTGAAACCAGCTCTGCAGTTCAGTGGCCACCTGAGCAGACACCACAGGCTGCTGTGGGGATGAACCCAGGCAGCAGGCAACTGTCCTCCTGGAAGGTACGCATGGGGAAGTACACTGCTCACTGATGCTCAGCGCCAGACAGGTCAGCCAGGGCAGGGGGAGGGTGGAACACGTGGAGGAGGGAAATGCAACCCCCCAAGGCTGGCTTTCTGTCCCGGCCACCACAAAGCTAACAAAGAGGAAGAAAGGAGTTTCTTTCCTTCTCAAGTCACTCTAGCCTGTCATGCTGGGAGAGCCAGGGATCATGAGTTAGAGAATCAGTAACACACTGGGATGCAACTCATGCCACTAATGTAATCCTTAGGCCTAACCCTTTAAGAACTGGAGGAGGTGGCCAGGCTTGGTGGCTCAGCCTGTGAATCCCAGCACTTTGGGAGGCCGAGGCGAGTGGATTGCCTGAACCCGTGAGTTCAAGACCCACTGGGGCAACTTGGCGAGACCTCGTCTCTACAATAAATCAAAAATTAGCCGGGTGTGGTAGTGCACGCCTGTAGTTCCGGCTACTCAGAAGACTGAGGCGGAAGGATCGCCAGAGCCCAGCAGGTCGAGGCTGCGGTGGCCGGAAGCGGCCACTGCACTCCAGTCTGGGCGACGGAGTGAGACTCCAATTCAAAAAAATAAGAACTGGAGGAGGTAACCAGGACATGGAGATGGGGAAGCCTTCTAGGCCCTGCTCCAAGATGCGTCACATACCTTCTTCAGTGAGGTGGGTTTCTTGGCCTTGGGGACTTCCCTCTGCTTCCCTCTCTTCACCAGCGGGGCGCTGGAGTCCAAGGGGTTGTGGGGGGTCTTCACCTGACCCCCGCGGCGGACCCTCTCCCCGGACACAGCTTCTTTGGGAAGGACGGGCACTGCTCCAACTGAAACACAGCGGGAGGATGGTCTCACCGTCACCTCCCAGGTCTGGCCCGGCTCAGTCTGGCTGGGACTGCGGTCCACCCTGGGGCTGCCTCAGGGCCTCTGGAGTCCCTGATGCCACTCCCAGGCTGCCCCCACAGCCCCTCTCATCTCCATCAGGCAACCCTTTACAGGAAACTTAGTACCTCTTGGATGGGGCCCTAAAAAAGGACCAATCAATTTAGGAAAACAAACGGGCAGCCTAGCACCACGTGGACTCCTTCATGAACAGGACATTCCAGCAATCCGCAATCACCGCTGCTACCGTGAACACGGACATGGGTTGAGTCCAGTGGTCTGCATGTACTACTGCCACTGTGAACCTGGCCCTCCCCACCGCTGTTTCAGCTTGCATTGCCTTCGTGGGTGTCGGCTTCTGCACGCGCATTCTAGCGGATTTCTTGGATGTCAGTTTCTGCACGCGCATTCTAGCGAATTTCTAGCCGAGTCTCTTGAGTTTCCAGACATAACATGTGCTCCCGAATCCCATCAGGAACAGACGGGGGCAGCCCCTCCAGGAGCCACTGAATCACAGCGACTTCTGCTAAGCACTTCAATTCTCTTCTCCTGTCCTAGCTCCCACCTTAGTAGCTGTTTCAAGAAACACTTACTCCTGTTTGCACTTCCTCCCTGCTGTTTAACTAGGAACATTTCCAGACACACACCGGAGAGAGAACGGAACACAGCAAAGCCCCACGTCCAGCCTCGAGAACGACCAGCGTCTTTCCAGATGTCTTTTCCTCGCCCTCTGTAGCCCTGGAACCTGAGTTTGAAGCAGCTGGTGGGTCAGCCAGACGTGCTCCCACACATCCCCGTGCACCTTCCCGCTCCAGCGCAGACTGACCCTGCACGCGTCGTCCGGGACCCAGCCACGCCCTCCGGCTGCGCTCCCACAGGGGCTTGCCCCGGAGCCTCGCTCCCCCGTGGGGACTGAGACCAGCGTGTGACTGGCCCGGTCTTCTCATCAGCTCTTCTGGAGAACCCTGCACCGCCCTGCTCACGGCCATCAAGTTCCGCACGCACTGGGCGCCGGCAAAACCTGCCGCCAGAGCCCTTGGCTCTGTGCCCCTGCACCCCGCCACCGGGCACCTCTTCACCAAGCGCCCCTTCCCCAGTGCAGAGGGAGGCCAACTACCCCCTCACCAAAGCAGCAACTGAGTTGAACAGAACTGCCCACACCAGCACTGAGCGCCCTGGAAAGTGGCCGAGGCTCACAGCACGAGCGGCATCCCCTGCCGAGGCACAGCCTCCGCTGGGACCGCGCGACAGGACTGTGCCCCTGTGGCTGCCCTGCAGGCTCCTCCGACCAGGTAGAAAGGCCGTGAGGCTGGCGGTTTTACCACCACTGCCACGAGAGGCTTGCTGGACCGCGAGCGTGGCTGTTTAAAGCGGTGACTGCAGCGAGAGGGAGTGGGCAGCACGGCCAGCCGGAGCCACAGACCACTGGCCGACAGAGACTCTACGGAGTCCGGGAAGACTCCCCAGGGACGGCTGTCTGCATAGCCTGGCTGGCCTCAGGGTGCAGGCACTGGGCCCAGCAAGGGCACGTCCACGGGACCCACGAGCCCAGTCAACAGCAGAGCCCGCAAACAGACCCAGGAGAGACTGAGCACCAGGCACACCTGAACTGGCCTGGGGATGGATGTGCCCCGCCCACACATCGCTACCGACAGAGAGCGGGGCCTGAGCACAACATCTGACCTGTCTCTGCTGTGTAGACTCAGGGGTGACCCCAGGGAGACAAGCAACAAATAAAAACAAGAGAAAGTAACTTAGCAGAGACATCAGAAGCCACACACTGTAGGGAAGAGAGACTTTCAGATTTAGATCATGCCAGCTACTTGAAAAAAAATCACTATCACTCTTCCCTGAGGGAAAAAATTAGAATCCAGAGTTGCTACAATATGTTAACTAAAATATTCAATATTCAACACAAAATGCTGAGACATTCAAAGAAACAGTGTGACCACCCACACGCAGGAACACGGCAATGCACAGAAACGGTCTTTGAGTGTCCCCAGATGTGAGACTTAGCAGATCAATACGAAAGGGGAACTGTCAGAATAAAAGTGAATACAAGATTCCAACAATCAGAAATTACACAAAAGAGGCGCTCAGCAGATCAGCGGCCTTGAGATGGTAAAAAAAATCAGTGAACCTGCAATTTCAAGAAAAGACAGGCGAGTTTTTAAACAATGAGCAGAGACTCAGAGACCTGTGGAGCAATCTCAAGCACACCAAATACACACAATGGGAGTCCCAGAAGGAAAGGAGGAAGAAAAGGCAGCAACTTGGACATGAGCCCTAAACTCCCTAAATCTGATGAAAACCCCCTAGCGTCAAACCCACCACCATCCCCAGGCAGGGTAAACTCAGAGATGCAATCTGGACACACCTGAATCAGACTGCTGAAAGTCAAAACAGAGAAAACAAGGAACACAGCAGAGCAAAACCAATGACAAAGCAGAACAACGTCTGACTCCTCATCAGGGGTCCGAGGTCAGTGGAATAACAGTCAATGACCTGGGCTGGGGGGGCAGCGGTTACTGGCCACCCAGACTTCTACATCCAGCAGAACTAGCCTCCAAAGAATGAATTGTCAGTAAAGCCATTCCCACATAAACAAATACTGAAAGACTGTACTGCTGGCAGAGCTTGTCATGAACACTACAGGGAACCCTTCAGAGACACCAACAGAAGCCAGAGGAATAAAGAACCCAAAACTCATGTATATGACACTGGTAAATGGAAATTTCGCCCCCTTTCTGCTCTTGCCATCTTTAAGAGGTATGCCATCTTTAAAAGTAATAATTACAACATTGCACTGTCTGCCTTATAACATATATTTAGGTGTAACTTATGACAACAGCAGCATGGGGTGGGGGGCAGAAAACAGAAACACATTAAAGCTTCTCTAATACATAAACTGAGTTGTACACTGGATCCCTAGAACAGCCACTAAGAAGATAATTTTTAAAAGTAAAGCTGGGCGTGGTGGCTCACGCCTATAATCGCAGCACTTTGGGAGATGGAAGCAAGATGACTGCCTGAGCACAGGGGTTCCAGACTAGCCTGGGCAACTTGATGAGACCTTGTCTCTACAACAAATCAAAACATTAGCCAGGCGTGGTGGAATACACCAGTGGTTCCAGCTACTTGGAAGGCTGAGGTGGAAGGATCATCAGAGCCCAGCAGGTTGAGGCTATGGTAGCCATCAGCGTGCCACTGCACTCTAGCCTGGGTGACAGAGAGGGACGCTGATTAAAAAAAAAAAAAAAAAAAAAACCCAAAAAGCCGCAACAAAAAACTAAAGTAAAAAAGAATAAAAGCAACCAAGGAATCAAAAGGGACTGCAGGCATGTTTTAACGTGACAGGCAGCAGAGGAGGAGAGGAGCAAAGGGCAAGAGACAAACAGACCCAGCCACACCGACGACGACGACCCCGCGGAGAAGGCAGGCTGCCAGACCGGCCTAAGAAGGGCCTCCCATCCGCTGCCTCCGAGACAGCTCCGGGTTAATGCCTGTCTAAGGAGCCAAGGCTGCTCTTGCCTGTCTGACGCCTCACTCACCGGCCAACCCGCTGGGGAGACCCAACTCGAGCTCAGGAATAGACAAAACACCTTCGCGGGCCTCTGAGCCACCCTGAGTTCTAGTAAGACAGCCTGCACAGAGAGAGCTGCACGGCTCAGCTACAAAGAGAGGACCCTGAACTCCATTCTGCTAATTTTTACTTTTCATGTACAGGTGGTTCCACTAGTGACCACTAGTGGTAAGGGGGCAGGGGCAGCACAGCAGGACTCGGGCATTCCTGGGATCTCTGGCCAAACATCATCTCAATACTACCCAAAGCCTGGCCTCACTAAGGACCTCAAACCTTCCAGAAATCCGTTCCGACTCTCTGCCGAACTGCTCATTTCATGTCCCAAGGCCGAATTGGAACCTCACACTTCGCAAGTCTCCTTCTAGCCCCTCAAGGCAGTCCTCCCTTTCCCACTTCTGCCTTGGGCTGTCTCGAACCCTTCTTCACAAACAGCATCAGAGGCAACCTGTTGCAGGCCTTTTTACCCCATGGACACAGGACCACCTGGCACCTCTGTCTGCCCCTCCAGGCCTGACTCCATGAGCTGACCTACCTCAAGCCTCATCCTTACCAACTGCTGTGCACTGTCGGCGTACTAGAACACCATGAGCAGAAAAGGGCAGACAGGAACAGACCGGATAAAACGTCGTCTCAATCGCCAAAACGAACCTCTGCTTAGCAGCCTGTACTGCCCTCATATGTCTTTGTAACAAGATCCTAGCCCCAGGGGTGACCTCGAATCACTGAGTCTGGCCTTGACATGCCGGCAGTCATGACTCAACTCTAGTAGCATCAGAGCTACCATCCCCGAGTGTGGCAGCCCCTCCTCCACTGTCAACGACTCGACACCAAATGCCTCTGCCAAGTCTGGGGAGAACATCAGGCAACAAGACACTTCCCGCAGGCTCCTCAGGAAGCTGCATTCTCAAAATCAGAGTCTGGCAGGGCCCTTTCCAGCGTCTCCAAGGGCAATGAAACACCTGCTCTGGAAAGTGTCCAGAAAAGGCACTGAGAAGTGTGACCCACGGAGCCCAAAGCTGACTGCTCGGGAAAGCTGCCTCTGCCCCCAGGCAACCCCCAGCTGACCACCTTTCACCAAAGCAGCCGGACTGCTCCAGAAACATGAATCCAACAAGAACAGCACTCACGCCAGGCCTTCCCAAACAACGTGAGTCAAGGAGCAACTTCAGGGAAGACCACTGAAGAGCAGCAAGCTCAGACTTTGCTGTGCGCAAGAATTCCTGACATGGAAGTGTGCAGTCACGAATGCCGACATGGACATAATCACCAAAATCAATGAGAAGTCAAGAAGACAGACTGATGCTAAACTGTGGCGAGTGTGAAGTGAGTATGTGGTCTCTGCCCTCATTTCCCAGCACAGAGCTCCTGAGACCCCTGGCAGCATGGAGCTGTCTCTTTCTGGGGGGCAAGGACAGCCAGAGGAGCCAACCAAGCGGCAGGGGGCAGAAGGGCCAAGCTTCCAGCTATGGCCAGGAATGCAACCAGCCAGGCCTACATCGCAGAAGCCCCCGAGGCGCCCCCGTGACCATGATTGGGTTTGGAGAGCTTGTGGGTGGTGGAGGAGCTGGGATGGTGGCCACTCTGGAGTGGGCGTGGAGGTTGACCCCTCCGCATCCTGCCCAATGCGTCTCCCCTTCCATCTGGCTATTCCTGAGCTGTGGCCTTCCTCATACACCAGTGTTCTAGCAAGTAAACTGTTCTCCAGAGTTCTGTGAACCACTCCAAATGAGCAAACCTAAAGGGGGTCCCTGGAGCCCCAATTTATAGCTGGCTGGTCAGAAGCTCAGATGACAGCCTGGACCAACTGGCCCTTCCTCTGGGGCCTGTGTTTGTTCTGAGAGGCAGGACTACAGGGAGCCCAGTGGCACCCACTAAAGAGTGGACTGACATCTGGTGCCAGAAAGGAGGTGTGTGTGTGTGGGTAGAGAACAAGAAGTTTGTTTTTACTGTAAGAAGAAACAATTGTCAATACTGCGTTTTAAAACATCACCACAGAGGCACAAGCTGAGGTGCTGAAAGGTAGGACAGTAAGATGCCCATGAGCTGTGGATGGGTCACAACAGGCCAACATAAACTGATGGAGGGAGGTGACGGGCACATGGTATCACATGCCCTCTGCTTTTCATGTTTTACATTTTCCATATTAAACACGTAAAAAAGACAAAACATCCCACTGAGTGCTTATTCCAACGCCTACTCCCAACCCCATTCCTAGTAGCTGTAACTCATGATGTCCAGGTGTACCTCAGTCTGGACACAGTGTCCACAGCACAATTAACTCAGCTTCTCTAGAGGTTCAAAACTTTCAAGAGAAAAAAACTCCACTTCCTTGAAGAGACAGAGCTGGCTCATCCTTTCTGGGACAAAAGCCAAAAAATGTGACATATTTCCCTTTTCACTGACTCCCAGAAACCTCAAAGACAAAACTCAACCCAAGGAACTGTGAAAAGTAAAAAGCTATTTTCCAGTTTCCTTGGGTACGTATTTGTTCTTTTTTAAAATGTGGTGTGTTTTGAAAAAATAAACTGCTTCAAAAGGAAAATGTGTACTCAAAAGACAGTGGCAAACATGCAGGTTACTTTCTACAACATATTGTGAATTTTCACCGTCCTGGCTTTAAGAGCAGACGTGTCACAGGTAAGAGACAGCCACAGCAGCAATGACTGTCCCAGTGGTGCCCATTTCCATGGAGTGCCACTTCCTAATGCACCACAGAGCTCTCTGGGAACGCAGGGCGCCTGCACGGACAAGGAGATTTCGGCCACACGGTGTTATCGCATCAAGCAGAAAACTCTTCATCTCTCAATAAGATCCATTTCTTAAAATCATCAGAGTTAAATAACTTAAAAATTTTAAACTGTGGTTAAAATATGACATGAAATTTACAATGTCAACTGTTTTTAAGTGCACAATTCAGTGGTATAAATTAGATTCACAATGTAGTGCCATCATCACTACTGTTCGGTTCCAAAATTTTTCATGCCCCACGCTGAAACTCTGTTCCCTTAACAGTCCTTAGTCCTTGGAAACCTCTAATCTACATTACGTGTCTAGGAATTTGCCATTCTAGACATTCCATCAAAGTGGACCCATATAGGATTTGTGTTTCTGTGTCTGCTTATTTCACTTGGCACAAGGCTTTAAGTTTCATTCACATTGTAGTACATCAGCATTCATTCCTTTTTTAAGGCTGAACAACACGGTGGTGTAAGGACAGATCACGTGAGTTCATATACACTTGTGTGCCGAGCAACATGTGGGTGGTGTCTACTTTTTGGTTATTGTGAATAATGCTGCAGTGAACCCTGGAGTGCAAGTGTCTGAGTCTGTTTTGAAATTTTCTGGGAAAATCTATGGAGTGGAATTGCTGAGTCATACGGTTCGTTTTGCATTTAGCATCTTAAGGAACCCCCAGGTTGCCACCCACAACAGCCGCATCATTCTACATCCCTGCTGGCAGTGTACAAGGGTTCCCATTTTCCAATATCCTCGCCGACGCTTGTTATTTTCTTTTTTTTACTACGGTCATCCTGGTAGGTGGGAAGTGGTGTTTCAATGTAGTTTTGATTAGCACTTTCCTGATGACCAGTGATGCAGAATCTCTTTTCATGTGCTTATTGACCGTTTGTGTACCTTTCCTGGATAAACGTCTTTTCCAGTCTTTTGCTAGTTTTCTTACCGAATTGTTGTTGCTGAGTTGCAGGAGCGCTTACACAGTAGAAGGTTAATCCTGGGTCAGACATGATTTGCAAATATTTTGTCCCCTTCTGTAAGCTGTCTTTCTGCTTTCTTGATAACGTCCCTTGCTATGCAAACATTTTTTTAATTTTGATGAAGTCAAAGGTTTGTTGATTTTTCTTTTGTTGCTCCTCCTTTTGGTGCTGGGTCTAAAATCCACTGTCTAATCCAAGGTCATGAAAACGTAGCTCATTTTCTTCTAAGAGTTTTACAATTACAGCTCTTATACTTAGTTCAGTCACTGTTTGAGTTGACCTGTGTCTGTGGTATGAGGTAGGGGTATGGTCTCCTATATCATGTGAAAATCCAGATACTTTCATATCATTTTTTAAGAGCCTGTTCTTTGTTCTTTAAATGGACTCGGCACCCTGGTCAAAATTCTGGCCACAGAGGCATGAGTTTCTCCCTGGACTCTCGATTCCCCTCCACTCTATGCCTATGCGTATCCCAGCACCACACGGCTTGACTATCTACAGGCAACTCTGGATTGTGAGAGAAAACATTAACCACACGATCTATCTGAAAGCAACTTCCAGCACGTCCCTGGCATGGAAAGGCTTTACCTGCGACCACCACGGGTCTGGAGGCTGGCTTTGCGAGTCGGGAGTGCTGCTTCCTTTCCAGCGCAGCCAGCACTCCCCCCAAATCCAGCTGGACTGGAAGCTGGCTCTTCTTCACATGATGTTTAAGATGATCCTAGAAGTCCAAAAGTCATAAATTTACTTTGCAAAACTGTGCTCTTCATTTCACAAGAAAATCATACAATGAAGTCGATTCAGATATAAAAATCTTAAAATTGAAACATTCAAGCAATTAAAAAAGAAACTAAGCCCGCATTATCTGCCAGTATTCCCAGAACACAGGGTTTGCATGAAATCACTGATGCTTCTGTCTGTGTCTCCCTGCGAGTTGGTGCATGCAGCTACAGACAAGGCACCAGGGTGCCTACGATGTCTCTGGCCACACAAGTGTGGATGTGAGGCCACTTGGTCAGTACTGCTGCCTTACTGGCACCATTCTCTCTCCAAACACCTCGGTGAACCAACAAAATGTCATGAAGCAACAGTGACACCACTCAGTATACAGAAACCCAGATCACACCCAGGAGACGGTATCAAATGCAGGCACAAAGTCTGACATATTTGAAGCAGTATTGCTTTTGAAGTAGTTGTGATTTGGGTTTGGAGACTATGGGAAAAGCTGTTCAAGGAAGCCCCACGACAGGTCCTACGGCACACTGTCCTGTCGGCTCAGTGCCTCCACTCCACTCTCCTCCCGGACACCAACACCCTACTGGTGAAGGCCCACCTGAGGAGTACGCCAAGCACACTCCAGGCAGGCAGGGACACTGCTGCAGGGAGGAAAGATATGAGAATCACAGCATGCGAACGGAAAGGAAATTCGCACAAAGGTTTGTATTTTTCATCCTTGCCCTTTAAAAGGCAAAATAACAACATGCTAGAGAATCAAGGGCCAAGGTATGCCACTCCCCATCTAAACTATGACTTCAGACAGGATCACTTGAGTTTACGAGTTCAAGACCAGCCTGGGCAACATACAAGACCCTGTCTCTACAAAAATATAAAAATTAGCCGGGTGTCGTGGAACGTGCCTGTAGTCCCAGCTACTCGAGGCTGACACAGGAGGATCGCTTAAGTCCAGGAACTGGATGCCGTCGTAAGCTGTAATGTGCCACTGCACTCCAGCCTGGTGACAGAGTAAGACCCCCTATTCAAAAAATTAAATTATGGCTCATCAGACCCTCTTCCTGAATCTACAGTTTAGGGCGGGGGCAAGGAGAGGCCTCTCCCCTGGCTTCTGTTCTGAATACACAAAATGGTGGTGCCGCTCTCATTTTTTGGTCTGACAGCATTGTCTTACAAAAGAATCCTCCTGTTCCTGAAAGAACTGAGTCAGCTTCTTTCCTTTAAACTAAAGCTCGATCCTCTCTGGCTCAGCAGCTGCAGTTACCAACAGACTTACTCTAAAAGCGACAGGCGTTTTCACTGGAGAGCCATTCTGCTTCAACACACCAGGGATAGTTCTCCCATGAAAGAATGAAACCAAACGAAACTTCCTGTCTCGGTACACAAAGACATCTGGCAAGCAGTTTTTCTTTAGAGTTTAGTTTAGCGAGAAAAGTTAAGCCTAAAGCAACTGTGGTTTCAATCTAAATTACCTGTGGCTGATGTTTAGACAGAAATTTCGGTGACTCTACTCTGTCTCTTCGTTCAGATGCAACTGCCAGGTTAGGAAACTCCTCGGTGTCCTAAGTAAACCAACACCCTTTTAACACATCGTTAGCAGAGATGACAGGTATGCCAAGTGCAGCCTTTCCTTCTTATATTCTTCGAAGGTGACACAAAACAGCCACAAACTCTCACCCAAAGCTGCCACTTGACTGCACCCTCAGAGCAAACGTGAAGAGCACAGTTCTAAACCCCTATGCCCAAAGAGAGGGAGAGCCACCCAGGGTCTTGGTACACTGAGAGTCTATAGCGCTGACCCTGGGCCACCTCGGCACGAGAGTAATCAAGATCCTGTCCTTCAAGATGAGGCTTTCCCTGAGAGAAACCAGCAGCTGTAGATCCAGTATGTTTACATGTTCTATAATCTGCAGTGAACCCAGGTTAGTAACTAGAGACAAAGGTAACAGGCCGGCTAGAAAAAGTCCGGTTTAAATCATTTAAAAATACCTTATGTCACTTCGCCAAGATCTCAGGTGCCTTGGAAAAAGAGTTATGTGGGAAACACTGGACAGAAATACAAATTATTCACTGTCCCAAACCATAATGCCCACTCAACAGCAAGTGCTCAAACATGTAACCCAGCTAGTCTCAAGGATGTTCCAAGGGACTTGGAACCCCGCCCCAGGTCTGTGGGACTGCCCGGACCTGACCCTAAGCTGGAACCCAGGGCAGCACCTTGGAGAGAGGCCTCAGCTGTCAAGAGCAGCCAGGCCACCTGGGTCTGGTCTGGTGATGGAAGAAAACCACCAGGCCCATGAGAAACAGTCAGGCCCAGGCTGGCACCTAGCACACATGGCATTCTTAGATGATCACCGGACAAAGAATGAGAGCCCTGGAAGTTCCTGAAATGCTTCTGACCCAGGCTACAACTTCTATCCACAGTGAAGAAAAGCCGGGCTTGGTGGCTCAGCCTGTAATCCCACGCCTTTGGGAGGCTGAGGCGAGTGGATTGCCTGAGCCTGCGGGTTCGAGACCCGCCTGGGCAGGCGAGACCTCATCTCTACAATAAATCAAAAAATCAACCGGGCGTGGTAGTGCATGCCTGTAATTCCGGCTACTCGGAAGGCTGAGGCGGAAGGATCGCCGGAGCCCGGCAGGTCAAGGCTGCGGTGGCCGGGAGCAGCCACTGCCCTCCAGTCTGGGTGACAGTGAGACTCCAACTCAAAAAAAAAAAGAAAAGAAAAGAAAAGGAGGCCCTGCAAAAGCCAGCATTCTAAAGCAAGAAAAAACAGGTAACGAGTAACTGAGGGGAATATCAGCAACATGGCACACGAATGATGAAGTTCCGAGACAAGCCGTTTTGTCTCCAGGCCACTCATTCATTCATTCACATGTTCCTGGTGTGGCTGCCCTGAGACCCTTCATATTCATTCACATGTTCCCGAAATGGAGGCCCTGAGACAGAGGGAAAGCAAACTCGGAGAGGTGGGGTGGGGGTGGGGGTGACTGCCGCTCCTGCCAGCACTGGGAAGAGGTCATCAGAACCCCTGGAGATGTTCACTCAGGAAACCAGCAGGGACCCCACTTCTATCAAGAAAGACCCAAGCGCACTTTGGGAGGCCAAGTTGAAAGGATTGCCTGAACCCATGGGTTCGTGACCAGCCTGGGAAACTTGGCGAGACTACCTCTCTACAATAAATTAAAAAATCAGCCGGGCATGGTAGCATGCCTGTAGTTCCAGCTACTTGGAAGGTTGAGGCTGAAGGATCGCTGGATCCCAGTGGGTCAATGTTGGGGTGGCCATGAGGGTGCCACTGCACTAGCCTGGGTGACAGAGTGAGACTCCACCTTTAAAAAAAAAAAAGCCGGGCTCAGAGGCTCAGCCTGTAATCCCGCGCTTTGGGAGGCTGAGGTGAGTGGATTGCGTGAGTCCACAGGTTCGAGACCCGCCTGGGAAACTTGGCAAGACCTCATCTCTACAATAAATCAAAAAATCAGCCGGGCATAGTAGTGCATGCCTGTAATTCCGGCTACTCAGAAGGCTGAGGCGGAAGGATCGCCGGAGCCCAGCAGGTCAAGGCTGCAGTGGCTGCTCCTCCAGTCTGGGTGACAGAGTGAGACTCCAACTCAAAAAAAAAAAAAAAAAAAAAGACACAAGCCAGGCACGGTGGCTCACACCTATCATCCCAGCACTTGGAAGCCAAGGGGAGAGGACTGCCTGCACCCAGGGGTTTGAGACCCGCCTGGGCAACTTGCGAGACCTCATCTCTACAATAAATCAAAAAACTAGTCGGGTGTGGTGGTGCATGTCTTGTAGTCCAAGCTACTTGGAAGGCTGAGGTGGAAGGACTGCCTGAGCCCAGATGTTGAGGTTGCAGTGGCTGTTAGAGTGAGACTCTAGCTCAAAAAAAAAAAGAAAGAAAGACCCCTAAGTAAGTCACATAGCGTGAGGAATAGTCGTCAATGTACTTCAATCCTGGGTGGCTCCGGAGCTGCCAGGACTTCATGGTTTGGATTAGACTTTTCTTTCTTTTTCTTATTCTTCCTTGAGGCTTCACTTTGTTCAAGGCTGCCACCTTGTGAGGCTTTGGACTAGAACAAAAAAAGCAAAAACCATCAGTTTTTAAGGCACTTAATAGAATGTTTAGTACCATGTATCAGCAAAACCAAGACATCAAGGCAAGCACATGGCAACTGTATTCTGAGCTAGGCCTCTCATCCTCTATTTTTTAAAGAGCCAGCATTCAGTGGAATAATTCTGAAGGGAAAAAAAAACTGTTAAAATAGCTGAAATGGCCACTTCCTCTTGGAACCTGGTGGATCTGGACAGAACCTAGCTTTAGCTTGAGAAGGCCACGCTGTCAACGATCTTACAAGCCTCTCCCCAGTCCAGGTGTGTCCTTCTGGCAACTCAGCCCATGGTTCCTAACCTGCATGTCACACCTGACTGCACGGCAGAGTCAGCCATGGAGCCTTCGCAGCAGACAGATGGCTGGGTCCATCCCATACCTGCTAAGTAGGACTTCCTCACTCCCACAGGCCTCCCAGGCGCCTGCCTCTTCGCAACCAGGTCAAACGTGCTCTGGCCTCAGGGTCTTTGCACTAAGCCCTCACACCTGAGCTTGACTAGGCTCAGACTCTTCCCTCATGTCTACCCGCCCCTTTCTCCCCTCCAACTTTGCTTAGTTTTCTCTTTAGAGCACTAGTCACTATCTGACATGCTCTCATCTGTCTGCACACTGCTGGCCTCACTGTGGGTTCTAAAAGAGCAGGGTGTTCTATTCTGAGTGGGAATTTATTCTCAGTGACAAAAGCCTTGGCAACTGTCAGAAATAGTATGTTTATCTACTGCCCAGAGGGACTGTCCACAGTATTTACTTGCGTAAAAAGGGCGAGTTTTAAGTGTAATGTGTACAGAACATTCATGTTTTGCTTAGAAACAAAACACAAAAAGAGAAGCCCCCTTCTGTGCTTCCATCCTCACGAGCCTGAGGCAGGACACAGCCAGACTGCGAGCGCAGGCCCCTGCGGCGTGGGCGGCAAGGAGAGTGTGGGAGGGAGGGCGCTTCCATAACGAGACCCTGCAGCACCCCCGATCGTTTCTGTAGCGCAATCTCACAACACAGGAAGTGTTCAAGAAAATAAACCACTATGACCACTACCACGTAGCTACGTCAAAGGCAAAGTCATTTTGGTTACGAGATTACAGAAGATCTTTATTTTCTTCTTAGCTTTGTTTTAGAATTTTCCTAAAATAAACTTTTCTTATACTGGTAATTCAAAAACATTTTTTAAAAATACTGGAAAAATGAAACACAATCTGTTCACTCTTAGAATGTTAGCTGTGCCAGGCGCGGTGGCTCATGCCTATAATTCCAGCACTTTGGGAGGCGGAAGCGGGAAGATTGCCTGAGTCAGGGGTTCAGACCAGCCTGAGCAACTTGGTGAGACCTTATCTCTACAATAGATTAAAAAAATCAGCTGGGCAAGAAGGCGCATGTCTGTGGTTCCAGCTACTCGGAAGGCTGAGGCGGAAGGATCGCCTGAGCTCAGCAGGTCGAGGCTGCAGTGGCCATGAGCGTGTCACTACACTCCAGCCTGGGTGACAGTGAGACTCAGACTCAAGAAATAAAAATAACATTAGCTGTGTATCAGGAGAACTGGCTTGAAGAGTGACCTGGCGTCCACAACAAAGAACTACACAGTGGGCTATTTCCCAGCCTGTCCCTAGCTGCCTGGGAGCCCCACAGACAGGCCGAAGGGCTCCACTCACAGTGTGTGCACAAAAGGGAGGCCCTGTCACCAACAGGCACTGCTCTCTCTCAAATGTGCAGAGAGCAGAGGGGCACACGCCTGCATCATCTGTGTCTGTAGTGCCTGTCGCCACCATAAATGCACAGTAACCGTTTTTGTGGAATTCGCTAACAATATTCTTAGCCATCCAAAGGTATCCCCCAAAACTCAAAAGACAGAAAACCACTTCACAAGAGTATGCTTCACCCTAAAATAAGATATCCACAAACAATGAAAATCAAGAACAATATTTAAACCAACAAAATAAAGGCGCTTGAAGAAACAGATCTAGGGGCCAATAAGAATGCAACCTGCCTGTAATCCCAGCACTTTGGGAGGCTAAGGCGATTAAAAAAAAAAAAATTAGCCGGGCATGGTAGCGCATAGTTCCAGCTACTTGGAAGGCTGAGGCATGGAAGGATTGCCAGAGCCCAGCATGCCACTGCACTCCAGCCTGGGCGACAAAGTGAGACTCCAACTCGGGAAAAAAAAAAAAAAGAATGCAACTTGGAACTATTTAAGTGCAAAAAAAATCTAATCTGAAATGCTATCTTCAGTAAATAAATTGCAATTAACCACAAATCAGTAACATATACCAGATGATCCCGAAATGTGGAATTCAATTACTCTGTGACCAATACTCCAGTACCGGCAAAAGTCACTTAAGTTCAGTAGACAAAAGGCTGGAGGAGAAAAAAGAACAACAACTTTGCACACTAGAGCATGAACCATGCAGTAACTCTTCTTTAGAGAATTTGAAGTGGCTCACAGGTATTTTAAAACCGCAGATCTAAAACATACATCCTCACTCATACATGGAAACCGTCATGGCATTCCCTAACAATTGATTCTTTTTCCAAGGTGCAAGCACAACAAGCTCAGACTCGTGACAACACTGCAGAATGAAATGCTTCCGTGGGTAGGACCGGAGGGGTAACACATCAGCCGGCAGCACAGAGGGTGCCAGGATCAAGACCACGACGGGATGCAGGCTTTTCTCCTCAAGCTTGTTTCACTGTGACATCACACCTGTGACATAAAATTCACCATCGTAACAACTGTTAAGTGCAGTTTTGTGGCAATGAGGACCACTCAGGCTGTTGTGCAACCATCACCATCCACCTCCAGAACTCTTTTCCTCTTGCAGAGCTGAAGCCTATTAAGAAATCGGTTCTCAGACGGGCTCACACCTGTCATCCCAGCATTTTGGGAGGCGGAGGCGAGAGGACTGCCTGAGCCCACAGGTTCAAGACCAGCCCGAGCAACTTGGTGAGAACTCGTCTCTACAATAAATTAAAAAATAAGCGGGGTGTGGTGGCGTGTGCCTGTGGTTCCAGCTACTCGGAAGGCTGAGACGGAAGGATTGCCGGCGCCCAGCGGGTCGAGGTTGCGGGTGCCGTGAGCATGCTACTGCACTGCAGCCTGGGTGATAGCAAGACTCTGACTCAAAAAAGAAAGAAATCCCTTCTCATTCCTGCTCCTCCCAGCACCTTAGTCACTACCACCACCTTACCTTCTGTCTCTAGTGGTACGTACCTTTCTAGTAGGATGCACAATGTGTTTCTCTCTGTAGGAAGGATCCGAAGATAAAGCTTCAGAAGATGGTATACTAACATTTTTAGGATCTGCTGACGAAGCAATGGTCTTTAAGTTTATCATGGAAGTAACATTTTTAGGGGCTGGTGACAGTTCTGTAGATAATGTCTGTCGAACAACATAACCCATTGGTGTCCAAGACAACTCTGCTCAAAGATAACCAAAATTGTTGAACAATCTTGACAGTAAAATAGAAATTCCTGTCACTCAAACATGTACTACATGAGGTAACTACTCAGAGTGTAACTAAACTGAAGCTGTCATTCAAAATGTCCCCTTGGAAACTACAGCAGTCACTAGGCTTGTTTTTCTTCTTGGAACATGTATGCTGAATTTTTCACCTTCAACGTGTAAGGTTAATTTTCCTAGAAACTGGTTTTCTGGCTTGAGGGTATGAGTGTGGGCAGACAGACAACAATTTGAGTTAAAGAACAACAATCCACAAGAATGTCCACATGGCAAACACACAGAACAAATGAGCTGAAGATCAAGTGATGGCCCTACTGAGCTTAATGTGCACCTTTAACCCCAGAGGTAAAAGATCACTAGACTTCAGCTACCACAAGAACTGTTAATCTACTTCTTTTAGCTCACAGCCTTAAGGACAGCAGCACTACTCCTGAGGGGCCCGTGAAACACCACATACACACAAAACAGGAAGATGCCCATCAGGATGCAGGCAGACACGCCTATGGGCAGCCCAGGTAGCCCCGAGAGGGAGACAGCAAGTTCTCATCACCACCAACCGCACATCCCAGACACCCTCTAAGGGCAAGTTGGACGGAACCACACACGTTCCCAACATGAGAACGCAAAAGAAACACCCTGTGAAGAAGCCAGAAATATTTTGTAAAATTATCTTCTGTGAAGACAAGCTATGGTAAAAATTTCAAAAGCAGAATCGATGGGATTCTTTAAATATATTCCTTCTTGGCCAGGACAGGGCAGATGGACAGCCTCCCAGGACCATCTGGGAGCATGCGAAGTCAAAACTCTCTTCCCGGTCACCTTCCCCAGCTGCCTCTCCCTCGAGAGCAGGGGAAGTACCCCAAAGGTGGTAATGGAAGCAAGGTGGTGATGCCACTGGACACCCATAGGGCCAGAGGTCAAGGAGCCACAGAACTGCAAGGCGAGGCTGCCCTTCTCACCACAGCTTTTTAATTTTGCAACATGGTTCCCATAAAAATACACTATGCATTTTATCACTGTTATTTTTAAGCAAATTAATATTGTTAAAATTTGTTTTAACTTCAAGTAAGGCAAATATTGATAGACATCACCTAAATAAACAGAAGATCTTTGGGGCTCTCAATCTGTGAGGGAATTAAGGCATTCTGACACCCAATACTTCTGAGAACAGGTAATGCTAAATAAGGGAATTATTTCTGGACGTAGACATCACTTAGAAGGCTTGTCTCCTGTTCCACCCTCCTGTGCATGAGTGGGGAGCTCACTTATGTTCACTGTCTAAACTAACATTGATGTCAGGTTATCAACAACTCGTTAGTCGTTTTAAAGAAGACTTTAAAACAAAAACCATTTTAATTACATTGGAGTTAAAAATGAACTTAGGAAAGGTAGGACTCCTTTTTAAAAATAATACTTTGCAGCCACTCTTACCTCTTGTACATGAAGGGGAATTGGTGGCAGCATTAGCAGTCACAGATTCCTTTGGATTATTATTTTTTACCACTATTTCACCCTAAAAAGCAAACACATTAGACTTCATCAATGAAACGCAAATCAGAACGAGGAAATATCACTACACACCTATTTAAATAGCCAAAATCCAGAACACTGATTGTTGGTGAGAATGAAAAGCGATACAATCACTTTAGAAAACCATTTAGCAGGCAGAACCATTTTGAAAGACCTCGAGTCCGGCTCTGCTCCCTGGATTCGAATTCAGAAATAAACTTCTTTCTACCAGTAAAAAAAAAAAAAAAAAGAAAAGAAAGAAAATCATTTAGCAATTTCTTATAAAACTAAACATACTTTTACCGTATGACTTAACCACTGCACTCCTTGGTAATTACTCAAAGGAGATGAAAATGTATGTTCATACAAAAACCTGCACATGGAAGTTTATAGCAGCTTTATTCATTTCTGCCACAACTTGGAAGCATCCAAGATGTTCTTCAGTGGGTGAACGCATAAATAAACTGTGATACATTCAAACAGTACATTATTACTGGGCACTAAAATGAGCCATTCAGCCATGAAGAGACATAGAGGAACCTTAAATGCACAATACTAAGTGAAAGAAGTCAATCTGAAAATGCTTTCTACCATGATTCCAGCCATGCCACACTCTAGAAAAGGCAAAACTATGGAGACAGTAAAAAGACCATGGTTGACCTGGGTTGGGGGAGAGGCTGGCAGGGAGGGCACAGGGGGCTTCAGGGTAGTGAAACTACTCTGCCCCACACGGCACGGTGCACACTTGTTCTTACGCATCCCCCTTCAGCCCAAACCACCCCGGAAGATACGGCACCAAGAGTAAAACCCAATGTAAAACAGGGACTTTGGTTGACAATGGTGTGTCAATGTGGGTTCATCAACTGTCACAAACACAAACACAGCACTCCGGGACGGGATGTTGCCAATGGGGGCAGCTGTCCATATGTGGGAAAGGGGCATTTGGGAACGCTCTGTACCTTCCTCCCAATCTTGCTGTGAACCTAACATTGCTCTAAAAAATAAAGTCTGTTAAAAAAGAAAAACCAAAGCAGTGGTTTTCTATTTCAAATTCAAAGTAGTCATTGTTTTCGTTTGTTTTTGAGTTGGACTTTCACTCTGTCGCCAGGATGGAGTGCAGTGGAACTATCAAGGCTCACCACAGCCTTGACCTCCTGGGCTCAGATGATCCTTCTGCCTCAGCCTCCTGAGTAGCTGCGACCCTAGGCATGCACCACCAAGCCTAGCTAATTTTTTTGTTGTTGTTGTACAGACAAGGTCTCTCTAAGTCTCTGTGTTAATCTAGGCTGGTCTCGAACTCCTGGGATCAAGCAATCTTCCCACCTCAGCTCCCAAAGTGCCAGGTTTACAGGCATGAGCCACTGCGCCCTGTCTCCAATTGAAAGTCATCGTTTAATTTAAAAAGACAGCTTCCCTTGCCATTCGTAAAATCTGCAAATTATATGCTAATTAAAATCTCCAAAAGTTGAGGTACACAATGTGAAAAGTCAACTTCCTTCCTTCTGCTAAATTTCACTCCCTAGAAGAATAAACCCCCCACTGTCTGCAGCTTAGCTGGTCTCCTTCTACTTCTTTGCCTTCAATATGCAATCTGTGCACTGTCTGGATGCCCAATAATGGGATTTGGATTACCAGTAACAGAATCGCACCACACAAACTATCGTGCAACTTTTTCGAGTTAACACGCCACCAACACCTTTCCCAGGCAGCACAGACGCGCCACTTGATTCTTAAAGCCGCAGAGCTTCCGCATAAATGTGGAAGCCATCTTTCCCATGTCCACACGCCAAAGCCCAAGGCAGGCTGCCAAATGTCCAGAAACACGTACACTGCGACGAGCGCCCTTTTATGAGGGCCAAGAGCTGCCTCACGTGTTGTAATGACACTATGTGTGTGGGGGTGAGTACATGAAGACCCCTCAGCGTGACCAAGAGCACCAGAGGTCACAACACGTTGATGAATCAGATTCAAATCCGTAAAGCAGACAATGAAACTTAGACAATGCTTAAATTCATGTGCTTCACAAGTTTACCCACTTGCCATTTCATTACATCTGAGTCCAGCACCAAAAGATGATTAAAACACAACCCATTCTTTTAGAAAACATGACTTTTATACTCGCCAAAGCCAATAAAAAACTAGAAATGGCTCACCTATTCAAGAACGGCTAAGTAAGTATACATACCAGTATGAAACTCAATGCAGCAGTTGTTTTCAAAATATATTTAATGACAAGGAAAGAACGACAAAAAGGCTCTTAAAAATTCACACTTTTCTGCCAGGCACAGTGGCTCTCACCACTTTGGGAGGCGGAGTAATTCCAGCACTCTGGGAGAGAGGCAAGAGGACGCCTGAGCCCAGGAGTTTGAGAACAGCCCGAGCAACTTGGCGAGACCTCATCTCTACAATGAATCAAAAACTCAGCCGGGCGTGGTGGCACGTGCCTGTGGTTCTGGCTACCTGGAAGGCTGAGGAGGAAGGATAGCCTGAGCCCAGCGGGTCGAGGCTGGGATGGCTATGAGTGTGCCGCTGCACTCCAGCCTGGGCGACAGAGTGAGACACCAACTGAATAATAAAAAAAAACCATATTTTTAGTCCCAAATTAATTTCTAATCCATACATATTTATAATCCCAAATTGAGGGGCACCCCCTGCAATAACCAAATGGGCGATTTACACAATGATTAAGTGCCACGCATGGTTTTCTCTTGGCTGTACAATTTTAGACAGATTTTTTTTTTAAGATGTTTCTGTCATTTATAGACACTATTGACATCATCAGGGAAAACGGTTTCTTTTAGAAGGAAAATCAACATTTAAAAAGCCCACATGTAATCCAAGAGTATCTGTGAACATATGATCAAGCCATCGGTACATAGCTCTAACTGCCACATGTGACAGGAGGCCAGGACAGAAAGCGTCAGCCCAGCTCCTGCCCATCCACAGCTTGCACAGCATCCTCTACAGCTTCTGGGCGCTCATGAGACTCTGCCCATGATGGGGACAGGGAACCCCATAACTTCCCAACCCCTGCACAGACTCCACTGGGGCTCCAGGAAGCAGGCACATGTCCACCGGCCGAGCTGTGGTTCTCAGACAGCCATCAGCCCCCTTGACTTTGCACAGCTGGCAGGAAAACCTGAGCCACTGCAGGTGAGGGTCCCATGCGGGAATGCTGTGCAGCAATAGACCTTCTGCACATGGCAGGCCATGACTCTGGACTTGCAAGCCCTCACATCCAGGAACCCAAGAGAAGTCCCAGGACAGGAGACCAATCTCTTTGCAATTCCAGGGGTAAGCAAATGCGTGAGGTCTGTCTTCTTTCTTTTTTCTCCCTGACTTGCTACCGGCATGTACCCCACCCCTCCCTTCAGTGGAAATTTGTCAGAAGTCATTTTAAGGATTATTAACCAGACACCACTTTTTCCCTAGAAGTCTCAAGTCAATCCATTTGAGGAAAATGCCTCAATGTAGTGGACTAAAACTCGGAGACCCAATGTTGAATACAGTGTAGTTTAAAACTATTAAGCAGTAAACGGAGTTATTCTACTGCGGTAACTTTGGCTGAATTCGCAGTATCATTAACAAGACAAAGATGTAGATTAAAAAACTGGGAAACTCGGAAGTCAAACTCTGCAGTTATTATTATTATTATTATTTGAGGTGGAGGCTCACCTATCACCCAGGCTGGAGTGCAGTGGCCGCTCCCAGCCACCGCAGCCTCGACCAGCTGGGCTCCGGCGATCCTTCCCCTCAGCCTTCCCAGGAGCTGGAACTACAGATGTGTGCCACCATACCCAGCTAATTCTCTGATGTACTGTAGAGATGAGGTCTCACCAAGTTGCCCAGGTGGGTCTTGAACCCATGGGCTCAGGCACTCCTGTCACCTCGGCCTCCCAAAGTGCTGGGATTATAGGCGTGAGCCATCGTGCCCGGCCCACTCTGCAGTTATTAAAATGACTTACAGTAAGCCCACACTTACCATCATGGATAGGTTCTTGGAAACTGCGACTTTCAGCAAAGGGGCATACAAAACCAATTTTTCCCCCCTTAGCATTATAATGAAACAACTGCGAAGATGGTCAGAGGACCTGCTGTGGTTTCCCTTAAAGCTGCAGTTTCCAAGAACCTGTTGACAATGGAAGACTCAGTGCACTTCATTCTTTAAAATCTTTCCCTCTGTATTGTGAAAGTGCCATCAGAATGCAATGCTAGAAGCAGCGTGTTCAAAATGGGCTCCTTCTGAGGCACTACAATACCCTCAGTAACTAGATTTTATGTCAGGCGATTCTTTTTAAAAGAAGAGAGGCACTCAGTGTTACAGCCTCACTGTAAACAGTTCAAACAACAGAGATGGTAGCCTAAGTGCATGAGGAAAGGCTTCCCCGGCATGTCCTCCCCAGCTCTGCAGACTTCCAAGCCCACATCAGGACTGAATGTATTGTGCTTGAGGTGACAGAATTGACAAGGTGTGCACTGAGGAGAAAGACAGAGAAAGAGCACAACCCCCACATCACCTGTGACAGCACTGCAGCTGGTTTCACCACCTCTCTCAGAAGAGAAAGGTCGGCCGAGGCGGAGCGGACAGGTCCCCATTTGGGTGGCTTTTGAACCACTGACATAGGACTGCTTTCTGGACCCCGCAATTCAGGAAAATCCAGCCTGCAAAGTTCAAACTCAGGCTTGGATGCAGATCCATTTTTTGCAACGATTCTGGATTTCCTGTCTGTTTGTTTATAGCCACCTGTAATTACAGGATTAACAGTAGGAGTAAAAATTCAGATACTGTTTGATGACTCTAGCAAACACGGCAGAGTAGAAAGTCTACTACTGCTGATATAACAGTTTGTTGTCAAAACATCCTAACTGACTATTGCTGCTAACGCTCCTTGTACAAGGGTAACACTTCAACGACCAGAATATCAATCTCTTTGGTTGGGCCACCACGCAGAAAAGCCAAAATGCACTGCAAATTTTAGGGTCACAGTCGAGCACCACTTAACATTTCAGTCTATGATGGACCTCACGCTTAACAGCTGGTCCCGAGATTAAGATGCAGCTGGAAAATTCCTACTGCCTAGTGATGACGCGCATGTTTGTGGTGACGCAGCATAAAGTAATCCACTGTGCTGCCAGTCATACAAAAGTGTAACATACAACTATGCACAGGACACAGGACTTGATAATGGCAATAAATGACTGTCACTGGTTTATATGCCACATTTTATCATTGTTTCAGAGTACATTCCCAACTATAAAAAAAGTAAACTGCGAAACAGCCCAGGCAGGACCTTCAGGAAGGCATGGTGATGACGGGAGGTGACAGCACCAGCCAGGCATGCTACTGTCCCTTGAGACCTTCCAGGGGGATAAGATGTGGAGATGGAGGACAGTGAGATCAACGATCCTGGCCCTGTGGAGGCCTAGGCCAAAGTGTGTGTTTGCCTTAGTTCTTAACAAAACAGTTCCAACAGGAAAAATAAAATTACCAGAAAAAAGCTTACAGATAAGGTTATAAAGAAAGATATTTTTGTCCAGCTGTATAACGTGTGTGTTTTAAGTCTAAGTATTATTATAAAATGAAAAGGTAATGGTGAGCTAAGTCTAGTTTATTATACTAAAGAAAGAAAGACATTTTTTATAAATTTAGCGCAGCCTGGATGCCCAGTGTCGATCGAGTCTACAGTATGCACAGTGATGTCCTGACCGTCACACTCACTCCAGTCATTCACTGACTCACGAGAGCAACTTCCAGGCCTGTAAGCTCCATTGAGAAAGTGTCTTTCACAGGTGTGCCGCTTTTTATCTTGTATGTCTATTGTACCTGTTCTGTAGCTATATTTAGAAACACAAACAGTTACCGTTGTGTTACAGTCCTCTACAGTATTCAGTAGAATCACACGCTGTGCAGGTATGTAGCCCAGGAGCAATAGGCCACACCAGAGCCTAGGTATACAGTGGGCTACACTAGCTAGGTATGTGTCTGCACACTATAATGTTCACACAATTACGAAATCGTCTAAGGACACATTTCTCAGAACGTATCCATATTGTCAATGCATGACTGTAATGCTAAAGCTGATGAAAGTTAGCTTAACCTGATTGTGCAGCCGGTCATTTTAATTCATCTTAATAAACATTTTAGAATTTTGCAAATTTAAAAAGACTCTTAACAAATTTCCTGTAAGTAATAAACTTCCATTTTGTTTGTTGGAATAAAAGAGGGAGGCAGGTACCATAAAACTTATAACCTTAGCTGGGAGCAGTAGCTCATGCCTGTAATCATAGTTTGGGAGGCCAAGGTGGGAGGCTGCTTGAGCTCAGGAGTTCGAGACCAGCCTTGGCAATAAAGCAAGACCTTATTTCTACAAAAAAAAAAAAAAAAAAAAAACCAAAAAATTATCCAGGTGTGGTTGCACATGCCTATAGCCCCAGCTACTTGGGAGGCTGAGGCAGAAGGATTATCCAAACCCATGAGGTCAAGGCTGTGGTGAGCTGTGATTTTGCTACTGCACTCCAGTCTGGATGACCAGAGTAAGACTCTGACTCAGGGGGGAAAAAAGGAAAGAAAGAAAGCAGCCCATAACCTCTTTCCCATTTTCCCCTGAAATGCAGTGGTGACAAGGTAGGCTGCAGTGTCATGAAGCCCCTCGTTTAATTCCAAAGCCAGGGTTACCACAAGTGACAGTCAAAGTGTACTTGTACCAGATGGTTTACGAGCAAAGTCAACGAAAAGAGAAAAATAACCAGGCACGGTGGCTCATGTCTGTATCTCAGCATTTTGGGAGGTGGAGGCAAGAGCATTGCCTGAGCCCAGGGGTTTGAGACCAGCCTGGGCAACTTGGCAAGACTTCGTCTCTACACTAAATCAAAAAATTAGCCAGGCATGGTGGTTGAGTGCCTGTGGTTCCAGCTACTTGGAAGACTGAGGCGGAAGGATCACCTGGGCCCAGTGGGTTGAGGCTGCGGTGGCCATGAGCGTGCCACTACACTCCAGCCTCGGTGACAGAGTGAGACTCCACAAAAAAAAAGAACAAAGAAAAGAAAAGAAAAGGAAAAAATATACCTACTAAGTAATACAAATCATACATGTAAGTAAATTGACAGACCATTTCCAGTAAGAACATAATTACAAAAGTTTCAAGTCATTATATAAGCTGGTGATATGTGTGACCAAACTACAGCAAGGAAAGCAAAACAAACAAGACAACATGCAGCATCACTAACTTTTGGTCACAGGCTGGAACAGGAGTTTTCAAGTCCAGAATAGACACGCCCTGTGGCAAGAATAGACAGTATCCCCTGAGTAACTAGTACCCAGGTCTGGTATTGGTTTTTTTGAGTCAGAGTCTCACTGTTACCCAGGCTGGAGGGCAGTGGCACGCTCACAGCCACTGCAGCCTTGACCTGTTAGGCTCCAGCAATCCTTCCACCTCAGCCTTCCAAGTACACCTGTAGCTGGAACTACAGGTGTGTGCCTCCACGCCCAGCTAATTTTTTTTTTTTATTATTGCAGAGATGAGGTCTCACCAAGTTGCCTGGGCTGATCTCGAAGCCCTGGGCTCAGGTAGTCCTCTCACTTCCGCCCCCCAAAGTGCTGGGATTACAGGCGTGAGCCACTGCACCCAGCTGGTATTGTTTAGGATGAGATTTGAACCACAGTGACCCTCGCCCACCTATTAAAGGGCCCCGAGCAGAATGCCAGAGATCTGCCTCAGGAACGAGCATGGTCAAACATAGCACAGAGGCCACGGCTGTGATATGCTTTCATTGAGGACATGTTGTGAAGCCGGTGGTCATCACCTACTTGCTACGGGACCTCAGACGAGCTCCTTGTGTGCACCACAGGGTCACAGCGTACTGTGGGCACTTCAGAACCCACAGTGCATCAGGCGCCACACTGTACCCCTCCTGGGAACACAGGCCTCCGGAAGGGCCCAGAAGTCTGCTGCCCTCAGCTATGCTGGGCTCCAGGTCTCGCTGTGCGGAACAGCTGGGAGGAGCAAGCCCATAGCAACAGCCACACAGAGAGCAGCAGTGCTCCTGGGCGAGAAGGGTGGGCTGGCAGCAGAGGTGAGAGCAGGTTACTTTTACCTGACTTCAAGCTAGTCTCAGCATGAATGGACAGACAATGTGACCTTTGAGCCGACTTTATCTCAGATGACAGGGTCCCGTCAGCCCTTCTACTGCCAAACTTCTGTTCATCATAGGTTTTTTTCTCATCATCATAGGCTTTTTTCTGCAGCAAAGAGTAAAAGTCAGCATGAAAAAAGAAAGCTACCACTATAAATGAAAAAGGCTTTAAATAGCAAATTATTAAGTATTCACAGTTCAGTCATTTTTAAAAAGGTTGCCTATCACAAGATGCAATACTTAAATACCATGCACAAATTTACCAGTTCTTTACATTTCAAACGTTAAAGGAACCAACTCAGGGAAGGGCACATCAGAAACATGGCACTCACTCACCTTAAACAGAGCTTTCCTTTCCTGCGGGAAGGGGCAGGTGTGCTCACTCTGGGCCTTCGCTGGTTGAAAACCTTGGTGACAACTGGCTCGGCTATAGTCACATGGGTAGCCAGGTGCTGAGCATACACTCCGCGTGGGGCCCAGGGCGTAAGGAGAGTAGGCGTGAGGGTGGAGAGCCACCTCGGAAGGCATATACTGAGCCGCGAAAGCCGGCACTCCAAAAGCCAAGTCTTCGGGGTATATTTTCTGCCTAAACAAAAAGTGTAGATGGCAACGGCATATTTCATATTACAAACCAAGAAACTTGACATTTTGCAATATACTAGTACCCAGGTCTGGTATTGGTCTTTTTCAGGCAGAGTCGCACTCTGTTACCCACTATATTAGCAATTTAAACATTTCAATACTTTTAGCTCATCATTCTAGCACTCAAATCTTCCTCATCAAAAGCCAAATAAAACCTCCGAGTGTTTCTTTCTCATACTGCAAAGAAAGACGCTGACTCTCCTTCTTCACAAATGAGCCACAGGAAACATCATCAGAGCCAGAAGACCCTCCGTCCTATGTCAAGCATTTGAGAAAGCTCTGTTTGCAAGCCTGGCCACATCAGCCCAGAGACCCATCCTTTCTGCGGGGGGAGCCTGCCTCCCAGGCCTGTGGGCTCCTGCAGATGGTCTGCAGCCCTTGCCCGTGCCAAGCCCACCATGACATCCCGTGCTCCAGCTGGGCCACAGTGCAACAGAAATGTTGCACGGCACCACGGTCAGGGACAACACACCCTGCTGACAAGACAGACGCCATCTCTGAAAAATGTTATTGCTTCCATTTGCCTCAGTCCAGCTGCTGGACTACACCGAAACTTAACATTGAGTTTTTTTCTTTTCAGCACATCTAGTGCATGGCTAGAGGTTTCAACCATTTTCTAAGAAAGCTGATACAGTGACAAAAAGCTAAGCAACAAGTTAAAATAAAAACCATAAGCTCCTCATTCCCACAAACACACAGCAGCAGATGCTTCTGTGAGTTTCCAGGGCTACACCAAATGCACCAACCAGTACGCTGCAAGACAGGAAGCCCAAACCTGATCACAATACACCCTGTGAGAGCTCCAAACTATCTTGCTGCCAGGAGATCTGAACACAGGTACCCCTGACTACAAGCGCTACAAGTGAGAGACACTGAAGAAATCAGGCGGTGGCCGCGGCAGGCCCTGCGAGAACACTGAGGCCACAACGCGGGCTGCTTTCGTTTCCACCCCAGGCCTGGTTATGTGCCGCCTAGTACCAGTGTGCAGAACACACGCATCTGCATTTTATCATACATTCAGATCTTAGGAGATCTTTCATTGGCAGGAAATCAATTCGAACAAGGAAGCAGCCCCAATCAAAAACCAAACCAGCCCTTTCACTGACCTCCCGTCTCCCAGCACAGCCCATCCCACTGCCTGCATGGTCCTGAGAACGCTACACTTATTTGGCTTATGGCTCAGCAGCCAGTGGGAGGTTTCGGGTGGAGGTGAAAAATCGGTTCTTCATAGGAGAAGATGAGCAAAGACGGACGGGTGGCAAAAGAGAAAGAAAAGGAATACCCCAAGTCTAAAACGTAAACCGACAAATGAAACGTAGCTACAACAAAGAGGGGCAGGGTCCGGGGGGGTTGAAGGCTGCTGTCACCCAGAGAACGCTCATCCCTGAGTCAGAGGACCCTGGCTGGGATCTTGGCTCTGCCACAACCTAGTCTTCCACTCTGGCCAAGCCACCTGGGTTTCTGAGCCCTCACTGCTCCTTCCTCTGGAAAGCTTGTATTTTCCGTTTCCACCTGGTGCAAACACAATTACGTGCAGAGAACCACACACAACACAAATATCAGAGACACAACCCACAGCATCTGGTATGGCCCCAATGGCTTGTCTGAACGCTCCAGAGGCTGAGTGGTGCAGACGACCCTAAAGGCCACAGTAACACACCGCTGCTCACTCACTGTCCTGCCCTATCCCATCCCCTCAAGCCAACCTCCTGGTGTACCTGTGCGTTACCTGCTGCTCATCATTCTAGCACTGAAATCTTCCTCATCAAAAGCCAAATAAAAAGCCAGTCTCCTGGCTCTGCTTCCCCCGCCAACAGTCCCTGGTCTCCCGGGACCTCCTTCCTGCCTCTTCCTCCTGGCACCTGTTGGGTCTGGCCCTTCCCTCCTGCGACCTGGACTGTGAACTCCACCCTCTCCTTGCTCTCACCGGCCTCCAAGGCTCCTCCTGTCTCTTTCCCTGGCGGCATCTCCTCTTCACCTCTCAACTTGCCACTGAGGCTCATTCCGAGTGGGAACCTCTCATCTCTTGGCTCAGACTTCACATAATCACAAATCAGCCAGCAGCTTCAGTCACTGGATCCAGGCCTCCACTTCCAACCTGCAGCCCACTTCCACTTACCATTGCACTTTCCCCAACTCAGCACACACAAATTCCAGATGCAGTATCTGGTGTCCAAACAAGGCCCACGCTCAGCTTCTGTTCTCACCAATGAGCTCTCAATTCTTTCCACATACTCAGTGGGTGACCTTATAACATCTTTCCCACCAAACCTGTTTGGACGGGCAAGGAGCCCTTTTCCCTCAGTAGGTCTCGCGTGTGATTCTTCATTGTCTCCAGGGCCTGGAACCTGGTCCGAGCCCTCAGAAGCCCCTCTTTCTTAAGAGTCTAACCAGAATTCGGGAACCATGATCATGACCCCGCTCAAAACTGCAAAAGTTTCCCAATTCCTACCCAGAAAACCTCAGCCACCCAGCTGCACTCTCTAGGCTTCCCACGCACAGACAGCTTCCCCTGACAGTGTCCCTTTATTCCTCCACTCGCACCCAAACATACGGCACGTGGTCCCTTCAGTCAGGCCCAGACCAGCAGGGGAGCTACTCCTCCTTCGCTCACCGACATGACTGGAGCCATCAGCATTGCTAGGCCGCGTGTTAGTGCTTTTCATAGCTCATGGGTTTGAACTTAAAAGCATCAGTTGGTGCTTACTGGATTTTGAAGCATACTGCAAGGTGCAATTCCCTGTTGATAGCCACAGCAGTTTTGGAGTCCACCACAATGAAACTCAGGTCAGAAGAACCAAATGCTACTTCTGGTTCTGGTATCACCTATCTGAATCAGTATGGACAAATGCTTCTTCTGGTCTCAGTGTTTCAGACATTAAAATAACATCATACCGACCCAGCAACCTCCCAGACTGTGACAAGCATGAGGAAGTATAAGTACACCACACACAGAACGCACCATCCTCATGCACATGTTACACAGGATTTGTCGCAAAGGAGGTACTATGACAATGGACATCACTAGGAAGAGAACTTATTTTGTTTGCACAGACTTGTTTGCTCACCACATAAGTCAACAAAATGAGTATTTTCCAAACATGGCAAGTGCTGTATGTATCACAGACCACATCCACTGGCATTTCTTTGTCTTGGTCTCTGACGTACATTTGGAGACCGGTATGTCTGTTCTCATCTCTATCAGTTCAAGTCTATGTACGACTGACAAAAAGAGGAGCACAGCTCCTGAGTCGCTTCCTCCTTCAGCATCTGTGCTTCCCACAGAGTAGTCAGTCTGCCAACGAATTCCAAATGAGCAAATGAAGACTCTCTGAGTGCACTGCTGAAGGTTCTGGAGGGCCAAATTTTGCGATAGGCTACTACAGCGCCTTTAAGGAAAGACGAGGGCAGGGACTGCAGAGATAACTGGGGTTGCTACCCAGTGGGATGAATAAGAAGAGTTCTGTTTCAGAAAATCCTCTTCTTTTCATCATGGCAGCATGAGATCTCCATTTACACAAAATCTGACCACAGCTACGTAATTTTTAACCTATATTAGAGAACTAACTGGAAAGTCAATTCTCAACTGCATAAGCCTCATCATTTCATCTCTTCTTTGAAGGTATTTTTCCTTCTAACCCTTCACCCTCAATTTAATGGCCTCTTTATCCTTAATTGTTTTCTTGCCAGGTGTGAATACTGTGAGGCTACCTTGTCCTTGAGGATAATTAAAGTTAAAAATTTAAAAATCAAAGTGAAAAATGGTTAAGGGGTTAACGAACTTTTGGAGTTCAGCCCTGCACATCCTCCAGTCCACTCAGTCCACTCACATTACTGCCAAAATGTTGTTTTAGCTACATGAATGAGTTCCACCATGTTGCATTTTGTTATGTAAGACACCCAAGGTAGGGAACAATTCACATGATACTTATGCCAACCTCCCCTTAATAAAGGATGAAATCACAATGGAAAAACTTAATAGTCCTACCAAACACCAAATTCTAGCACATAAAAGCCGGACTTCAATTTCAACTTTTGTCAAAAATTCAACTTCCGATATTTCCGAAATAGACAACTTAATGATTTTCTTAATCATTCCAATTTTCATTGTTACAAATACAATTCGAGACTGTACTTGCAGTACAAACTATTTTCAATCATACAATGAAGGGACACACACAAAAGGAAGAAAATGTGAACCAAATTAAAGCACGAGGACTCTTACATAAGCACTAAAGCTGACACAGACCTTAAAAGTAGATCAAGAAAGGAGAGAACTAGAAGTTCAGGATATAACAGCCATTTTGAATCAGCACAGCCATTTTGTTTGGGCCTCAACCCTTGACATTCCCTTGATACACAGCTTGCACGCTCTTTTACCCCATAATCATTAACAAGAAAAATACTTTAGTTTTAGAAACCAGTGACTACACAGAATCGCTTAAGCATGTCCAGCCTTGCTAACTATCTTTTAGGCATTCGAATTGATACACGGTTATTAGCCGCCCCTAGTTGACCTCAGCACCATGACAACCTCCAGCCCAGCCTACCACCTGAGGTCATGAGATGTTGATGCCTGGCAATGTCAAGATGCTAGATTCATGTGACTACTGTGGAAACCAAAGAATGCAACTCTGGACATTCCTTTGGCCCAGACTCTCCTCCAGGTCTAAGGCCCCTTTGCTTGAAAGGCCCTTAAATACACAGTTTCCAGCCTTCCACGACACACTCACCTGAGTGCTGGCCCCCTTTCCATTCGTGAAAGGCGAATAATAAACTTTACTTCCTTCTACTTTCCTCTCCGTTGCAGTCTTGCATTATTCCCATGGCATCGGCCCACCTTGCCTCAGTTTACCCTTTCAATCTACAAGTAAATCTACACAATTCTGTGAAAGAGTAACACTTATTTTTCTAAATTCAGCTAAAAGTAGAAGCCATTTTGTAAATCCTTGAGAATGAATCTTAAGAAAAAGAAAATTTAAGAAAAAACTTAAGCCTTCTTTCAACTCATATTTAGAAGAATTTACACCTCAATTTTGTAAAATTCATCTCAATAGAACAGATATAAAGCAAAATGGCTGAAAGCAAAAGTCAACAGTTTCGAAAGAATTGTCCAGAGGCAGGCAAGGCTGCTAGTTCCCACCCTTTCTCTGAATAAGACTTTAAAATGTTAAACCTTAAAAATGGGAAGCATGGGCTAGGCATGGTGGCTCACACCTATAATCCTATCACCATGGGAGGCTGAGGCAGAAAGACGGCCTGAGCCTAGAAGTTCAAAACCAACCTGGGCAACATAGTGAGACCCTATCTCTACAAATTATCAAAAAAATTAGTCGGGCATGGTGGTGTGTGCCTGTAGTCCCAGCTACTCCAAAGACCAAGATGAAAGATGGCCTGAACCCAGGATGTCGAGGCTTTGTGAGCTGGCTGTGGTTGTGTTCCTGCACTCCAGCCTGGGCAAGACTGGACACACACACACACACACACACACACACACACACACAGCACGTTAATTTGGTCCTTTGCTCTACCCTCTTCCATCCCACCTTTTCATCTTCCATTAGAGACATGACTTTTTTTTAAGGTTAGAAAATATAGTTTATTTAAAAAGCAAATGAGAGAGAGAGAGGAGAGTCACCACCTCACCAAGGTAGGGGAGGACGCCAAAGCCAGGAAACGAAGTGATGGCCATAGTTCGAAGAGCACATGGCCACACCAGAGTCTAGCAAGGCAATGACAACTATGGAAGAAAAGACAGGAGTCAAAGGTCCAGTTTTGGGCACTGGATATGGTTAAGATACGCCACTGGTTCTGATCTTTCTCAGCTGAAGCATTCTTTCTCCATCTGCAGAACTTGTTTTTCTTTTAACCTTCAGAACCCGTGAACCATCTGCAAAACTAAAATGCATTCACTGTGGCAATGTGAAAGCCTAATCGCCATTAAATCCAAGAAAAGGTAAGGTAAGACGCTGAGAAAGATACATACTCTGTCACTGGCAGTTCCTGAACAAACGGATAGCATGCGGCTGCACAGCTCGGGAGGACACCTGCTTCCGAGGACTCTGACCATGTCACGTCCAGTCCAGCAAACTTGGGGACAAATGGCTTGACATCTGCTGATAACTTGATGCCCTGAGGGGAAAAAAATGTGGTTCGGGACACAAACATTTGGAGATCAACCAAATGTAAACAAACAAAAAAAAGAGGCGCTTCTAACAGCCCCAGAAGTGCTAGTCCCAATGCTGCCGTTTAAAAATGTCTGCCTAGCAACAAAAATTCACCAGCTAACCATCTCTCACCAATACCTTTTTGTTAGAAAACAGTCGTTCAAACATTAAAAGTGAAAAATAATGACAACCAATTAAAGCGGAAGTAAAACTCGCCCCAGATGACGCAGTTGGGACAAGTGAAGCTCCCACGGCTTTAAACTGGGTACTTTGGCTCGCTCAGTTTGAACGAGGAACAGCCGAGAACCGGGAACGACCGCAGTCAAACACGCACGTGGAATTTTAACTATGGCAACCAGAACCCGCTGCAGCCCTTCACCGCCACGCCATTTCTCAGAAGGTTGCGCCAAAGTCTGTGCTTCCTCACGCTGAGCCACTCGCGAGGTCTGGTTTTGCTGAGCAGCAGAGCCTGCGCTGCAGGAAGAGCGTCCCCCGCCACGGGTTTTGGAACCGGGCTTCGCTCTGGCTCCGGTCTGGACCAGCAGGTGTACCGTCGCCGAGAGCCCCGCGGCCACGGGTCTCGGCCAGGGGCCAGCGTCCCGGCCCAGGGGCGCCGTCAGCGGCTGTGCCGGGCACGTGGGGAG